AGCAGAATCTTGCTTGCATGTGAAATCAATGATATTGTTCTATAGTTTCCACACTCTGTTGGGTCACCTTTCTTTGGAATGGGAACAAATATAGATAGATCTCTTCTAGTCACTGTATTGAAAGGAACTGGCAGACACAGAAGAATTTCATGAAACAACATATAAGCAAGAGCCTAGGGTGATGAAGGAAGAAGTTCAAGCTGCTTTGAAGGAAATAGCAAAAACTAAGGCCCCAGGAATAGATGGAATACCAATTGACATATTTCAGCTAACAGATGCTGCCCTGGACGTGCCCACCAAGTTGTGTCAAGAAATCTGGAAAACAACCACTTGGCCAACTGACTGGAAGAGATCTTGGTATAACTAGACTTCTCAATTCTGTGGTCAGGATACACTTCCTCAGTACACAAGTCATCAAACATATCTTGAAAATGCCAATAACTTTATCTTGGTAGAACCAAAGTTCACTAATATGGTAAAGAGGTTTCTTCAGTGACTTGGAGAGTTCTTTCCCCATCCCAGGCCACACCACTCGCCCTGAGGCCAGTCCCACCTTCCTCACAGTCTCCAGTTCCTGCTGCTTGTTCTCATTGGCAGTCTGAAGCTCCTTCATCTGTCGTTCCAGCTCCTCCTGCTCAGCCAGTAGCTTCTTCCTGAGTTCTTTCCGACGCTGGCGGGCTTCTTTGTGTGGTGGGGGACTGCCAAGTTTCAACAGATGAATAGTAGAATGAATAGCTGTAGGAGAAAAGGGGAAAGCACTTTTTACTATCTGCAAATCTAACAGGTGAATCATGTACTCACTCACTGCTATCAAGTCAGTCCACACCCACAGTAAACCTCCAGTGGCCTTCTACTGCTCCACAGAGACTGCCCTGCCTGGTTTCCTCCTGCAGAGCCGTCGCTGGTCAACTAAAACTGCCAGAGATACAGCCTTTGTGTTAGCTGCTTTGGACTATTCCACCAGAGCTCCCCTAACAAGTATATGACATCCAACACACCCTGCCAGGCATGTCAATACCAACTTACAACAACTCTGCAGCAGATTTCTGAGGCTGGAAATCCTCACAGAAATGACTCCTCATCTTTCTCCCTCAGCCCAGCTGATTGATCTAAACCACTGACATTCTGGTTACAGTACAAGATACAATACACTATGCCATCAAGGTATCTTGTGAACGGCACGCTGTGAAAAGACCTGGTGTGGATTCTGATCCTGGCACTGAGGGGTGGTGTGATATTTAGCTGTCACAAAACCACTTGAAGCATCAGTTTCCTCATCTCTAAAAGTCCCTGCTGTTCCACAATTCCATAACTGTGTATCTCTACTTAGGTAGAGATTTGGGAACTTAAGACAACACTTTAGACTCCCTTCTCCATATTTCTCAAAATGTCAAATAAGAATAAAATACAGTACAGGTTACATTCTTATAACATTACAAAGTTAATAATCTTAATTTTTTTAAATTAGTTCTTTCTTGTGGAACAAATGGATCTTAAAAAATGACAACATTTAAAACCTATTGCATAATTCCTCTTCTGCTTCACATCCTAAAGACTTTAAAATTATTTATTCATAGTCCTCAGAAGAGACTGTAGTGTATGTTGTCAGGTGCTTCTGAGTCAAGGGTGACCCACAGAGACCCTATGAAAAACAGATCTGAACCCTGACCTATCCTATGCCATCCTCACACTTCCTAACACACAACAGATTATTATGGCAGTCATCATGTCAATCCACCTGGTCAAGGATCTTCCTCTCCTCCGCCAACCCTCCACCCTTCCTAGCATCATTTCCTTCTCCAAGGAATAGACCCTCCTCGCAACATGCCCAAAGTATGTAAGGCAAAGCCTTATCATTCTTGCCTCCAAAGAGCACTCTGGCTGTACCCTCTCCAAGACATATCTGTTTAGTTTTTTGATAGTCCATGGGATGTTCAGTGCTCTGATCTAACACCACAGGTCAAAGGCATCAATTCTTCTTCTGTCATCCTTACGTTTCAGATGCCTAGCAAGTGATTAGAAAGACTACAGCCTGAATCAAACGACCTTAGTCTTCAAATTGACATCATTACTCCTCAATAATTTGGAGAGGTC